AAATTCTTAATTTTAATTATTTAATTATACAAAGTATATATACCTATGGGTTCCAGGCTCGATATTTGAGTNAACAACATTAATTGTATGTTTAATCTGTAAATGGACAGGGTATATATATCTATTGGATTCCAGGCTCGATATTTGAGGCTCAGTAGCACCAATCTATCACGAATAATTATGTGTGTTCAATTGTCTTACCATTTAGTGTGTTTGTTTTATAATTAAATTATTAATTTTTAATTATTTAATTGTATAAAGTATATATACCTATGGTTCCAAGCTCGATATTTGACGCCCTGTAGCACCAAACTATCATTAATAATTATGTGTGTCAAATTCAATATTTTTATAATTTTGTGTGTTTGTTTTATATTTAAATTATTAATTATTTAATTGTACAAAGTATATATACCTATGGGTTCCAGGCTCGATATTTGAGTCCCAGTAGCACCAAACTATCATGAATTATTATGTGTGTCAAATTCAATTGTCTTACCATTTAGTGTGTTTGTTTTATAATTAAATTTAATTTTTAATTATTTAATTGTACAAAGTATATATACCTATGGGTTCTAGGCTCCATATTTGAGGCCCAGTAGCACCAAACTATCATTAATAATTATGCATGTCAAATTCAATATTTTAATAATTTTATGTGTTTGTTTTATAATTTAAATTCTTAATTTTTAATTATTTAATTGTACAAAGTATATATACCTATGGGTTCCAGGCTTGATATTTGAGGCCCAGTAGCACCAAGCTATCATTAATAATTATGTGTGTCAAATTCAATATTTTTATAATTTTGTGTGTTTGTTTAATAATTTAAATTCTTAATTTTTAATTATTTAATTGTACAAAGTATATATACCTATGGGTTCCAGGCTCGATATTTTAATACCAGTAGCACCAAACTATCATGAATAATTATGTGTCTCAAATTCAATATCTTACCATTTAGTGTGTTTGTTTTATAATTAAATTATTTATTACTAATTACTTAATTGTACAAAGTATATATACCTATGGGTTCCAGGCTCGATATTTGAGGCCCAGTAGCACCATACTATCATTAATAATTATGTTTTTCAAATTCAATATTTTTATAATTTTGTGTGTTTGTTTTATAATTTAAATTCTTAATTTTTAATTTTTTAATTATACAAAGTATATATACCTATGGGTTTCAAGCTCGATATTTGAGTCCAGTAGCACCAAACTATCATAAATAATTATGTGTGTCAAATTTTAATATTTTTATAATTTTGTGTGTTTGTTTTGTAATTTAAATTCTTAATTTTTAATTTTTTAATTGTACAAAGTTTGTATTTTCATCTTCCGCTGTCTAGCTCTCTCGTAGTCCACAGCTAATTCAATCGTATCCGCCTTTGAGTACCAGTATAAGAGATACTTAAACTACAGGGATTCTATGCTAAAATACTCTACACTTTACTACGCTAAAAGGCTCTACATTTTACCTTGCTAAAAGGTTCTACATTTTACTATGCTAATAAATAATATAAACTAAATATAAACAACAAATACATTTTAATCACATAACATTCATAAAATACATATAACATACTAGTTTCGCAAATAAAATGCAAAACGACATGAAAACACTAATATCTAAATCCGGATATTAACAGAAAAAATTATTTCTCAATTTTACACTTTTTTTAGAACACTAATATCTAAGCCCGGATAAATATAACATACTAGTTTCGCAAATAAAACACAAAACGACATGGAAACACATTCAAATCAACTAATATTCATTATTATACAAGTTTTGACATAAATCGAAATACCTCGATTTAGTGTTTTCGAAAAGTAAATTGGATGAAAATTTGAGTCCGAAAGAGTGAAACTACAATAATACGATGCTCTACTACGATGTGGGACCTACGTTCTTAGCGTTTTGTGTGACGGGAGGGGCCCACATTTTTTTAAGAGACGACAAGGGGAGGGGGGTGGGGGGACCAGAATCGAAAACGAAAGGAAGTAAAAAAATGGGGGAGGAGGAGTTCTGGTCTTATGGGGAAGACGAAGGGGATTATTTAATCAGGGTATAGCGCGATAATTCTTTGCGCTATAGGTATAGCGCTTGATTTCTATGCGCTATACCTGGCAGTCAAATCGTCAGGGGGTATATCGCACTTATTCCATGCGCTATAACTTAACGGCAAAAGTTACCGTTAAGGTACAACGCGGCGAATTTCGGCGTTATATATAGAAAAGTAACTTTGTTTTTACACTCATTAACGTCACATTTGTCCAAAAAGACAATAAAAAGGTTCCGGACTCCTACAAAAGGCAATAAAACAACATAATAAATTCTTTTTTTTCAAAAAAAAAAAAAAAGAAAGACAAGAAACTACCTCTTTCACTAACGTTGGTTGTCCTATTTATAATGGACGTTTAATAAAGGGAAAGAAATGCTTGTGGGGTATCCGCCGACGGAAAAAGACAAATCCCAGATGCGAGGCTAATATTTAATTATTTATTATGTTTCCTTCAGATTTATTTATGAAAAGGACAGATTAATTGAATATTGCCAAAACCAGAATGGAAAGAAAGTTGTACAAATAAAAATTTAAAAAGAAAGGAAAGAGAGATAAAAGACAGCACTTGAATTATTTAAATTATGTAGATTCCTTAAATGAAATATATGGCATAAATTATATATTAGATATCCTTTTCATAATTAAGAAATTATGACCTAATTTAGCATATGACCTATGAATCTACCTAATTATGAATATATGGCATAAATTATAATAATAGATATCCTTTTCATAATTAAGAAATTATGACCTAATTTAGCATATGACCTATGAATCTACCTAATTATGACCATATATATGTATATATATATATTTAGTTGTTAATCTGGTTATTGTTGTATACTAACTAGATTGCGGTAGATAATCATAAAATTCAATTTTAAAATTTCCAGTGAACCAGAAAATAAAAGCATTTAGGATAAGATATTCATATAGCGCCATAAACATATTTGCATTCGATGTTATGTTTCGTGATGCTCAATATTCCTTTTCTGTTTTTTCAACTGTGACGTCACTAGCTGCATCATGGTATGGAGTCTTTTTTTCAATTGTGACATCACTATATGCATCAGAATCGGGCCTAAAGTGGATACCAAACATCACCTAAAAACTAAATAAAACTAAGGATGGAAGATGAGGAACATAATGCTATATTTTATAGCACTTATTTTTGTTTCTATGTTTCTTGAAAAAGTCATTACAAGGACCATGTTTCCTAGAAAGTAAAGTATTTTACTAGATTCTCTCTATATATAATATATCTGTATTATCAACAAAAGCTTTTGTGATCCGGCCTTTTCTCGGACCCTACGCATAGCGGGAGCTTAGTCACCAGGCTATCCTTTATCAACAATCGCTCATTAGATAATTTAAAAGAAAAAAAAAAGATAAGAAAAAGGAAAGCAACTTAAGGACATGGTTGGGAGAAGAGTTGATCTTTGGCATATTGGCATCTTCATCATTTTATTTTTTTGGTTTTCATACTCATATTGGGACTCGGTTAAATTCTTTCGGATTGGGACTCTTACATTAGGGGTAAAACAGTATCCAGAAAAAGTGATTTTATACAAAGATTCCAACCCAAAACCTTTGATTAAAGATGGAAGAACTCCATTATAACTCTTGTTAGTCACCTCCCTTTTATTTTGATAGACAAGTTGAGTCCAAATTAAACAATAACGACTGTGACAAGATAGTTTTACTCATGTCAAACCTTTCTATAACAACCTTCTTTGTTTCAATATTTTTTTCCTGCTACAGAAAATGCTATTATAAAGAACATATATTAACATGAAAAAATCGTTCGTTATAGTGAAGTGCTATTATAGAGGATGACTGTTATAGAGAGGTCTCACTGTATTATATATTATTATTAGAGTATAGCTTATATATTACTAATTAATCATAATACAATTAGGGACACTTCTATTTAAATTTTGTCCCTTTAAGGTCTTAATACATATTTCTCTTGGTGGAGAGTTTGGTGACAGACTACAAGATAATCAATTAAAATGGCTAAAATTAATAATTAAATTAACCTCTTAATGAGTCTGATCATCCAGCTCAAGTCTAACAATAATAGCAAGTAGATCATGATCAGTTGCTAATTAATCCTTGTCCTAATCTCGCTTTTCGACAAAACCTAAATATAACTCCTAAATCTAATACAGATGCCACAGGGTTCCAACTTGTCAAATAATTATTTGCCCACTTGTTCACTTATTTAATCCAATAATGTCCCTCCAATTCATTAATTAAGGATAATTTCTTCAAAATACTTATTTTTTTAGGAGTTAGTATTTTCTTGACGGTATGCCAAAGGTCAAAAGGTCACTTATTAATTATGAAGCGAAAGAGTATCATATTTCGCACCAACCAAGTGCTACATTAGTCATGCTGAGATTATTCGTTTCTTATTCAGCCAATCAAACAATGTACTCCCTCCGGTCCACAATAAGTGATCATTTAACATTTGGCATACCCTTTAAGGAAATACGAACTCCTAGGGAAAAAAGATGTATTCACTAAATTAACCATAATTAATTGTTACATTGACCAGTCGTGAAGCCACATGGTTATAAGGGTGGTCAGTTGACCATCCTTCATCGAAAAATTACACTGTGTATATAGCTAAAGTTAATATTACGTTTTAAAGGTATATAACATATATTGAACACCCTTTGTCGGGATTTTTTTCACTTCTTTCAAATTTAAATACCCTTGGGTAAATTTCTAGTTTCGCCACTGACCTTGACACATTGGAATATATAAATAAGGGCAAATTTTGGAAAAATAAAATTAATTCCTTCTTGATTATGTAAATGGACACTTATTTTGGACCAAAATAAAAAGGTAAAATTGTCACTTATTATGGACCGTAGGGAGTATTATATATGCGGGATTTGTGTTGGGGACTAATTTCTCAAATACCACAACCAAACGACCCCTTAGACATATTAAGCTGGTCCACTCATATTCAGAACTTTATACTAAAAATATCTACAATAAAGATATCAAAGAACATCTTTAATCTCCATCATCTGATGGAACATTTGAAGAATCAATATCAAACACAAACCTCAAATGTTTATATTGTTGCTGAGGAAGTCAAAGTTAAAGTTGAAGCTGAATCATCAATAGAAACTAATTCTTCAAAAGAAAGAGAAACAAATGATGAAGAAGTTAACTTCAATCCAAAAAATCCCCAGAAATATATAGGTGTTCGAAAACGGCCATGGGGAAAATATGCAGCTGAAATTAGGGATTCGACGAGGAATGGAATTAGGGTTTGGCTTGGAACTTTTGATACTGCTGAAGAAGCTGCTATGGCTTATGATCAAGCTGCGTTTTCTATGAGAGGTGCCCAAACTTGTCTGAATTTTCCAGTGGAAAAAGTGCGCGAATCGCTACAAAAAATGGAATGTAATAACCTAAAAGATGGATTGTTATCACCAGCTGCAGCCCTAAAAGAGAAACACAAGAAAAGAAATAGTAGTAGTTCAAGAAAGAAGCAAGTGAATATTATTAAAGAAGAAGAGAATGTGTTTATATTTGAAGATTTAGGTCCTGATTTATTAGATGAACTCTTATCATCTGAGAACTCCTCCTGTTCAAATTGTTAATCTACTAATTTCCCCATCTGTAAGTAATCTACTCCTTGTTCATGGTTTTATTTTATAATTTTTTTAATTAAATCGAGTCATGATTTTATTGCCACTGGACGCAAAATGCACTTTGTAGAAGGGGATCTTTCAGAAACAACCTCTCTACTCCCTCGGGTAGGGGTAAGGTCTGCGTACACACTATCTTCCCCATATCCCACCAGCGGGATTTCACTGGGTTGTTGTTGTTGTTGTTGTTGTTGTTGTTGTTGTTGCCCTCTTTCAAAAAATGAGCAAACTCACAATCTTTTCTGTCTTCTTGAATTGAGCAGAGGGTCTTTCGGAGACAGCATCTTTACTCCCTCGAGATAGGAATAAGGTCTGCGTACACACTACCTTTCTCAGACCCTACTAGTGGGATTTCACTGGGTTGTTGTTGTTGTTGTTGTTTTCCTCTTTCAAAAAATGAGCAAAATCACAATCTTTTCGTCTTCTTGAGCTGAGCCGAGGGTCTTTCAGAAACAGTCTTTCTACCCCTCGTGGAAGGGGTAAGATCTGCGTACACACTACCCTCCCCAGACCCCACTAGTGAGAATTTACTGGGTTGTTGTTGTTGTTGCATGTCTCAACTCATTGGAACCCTAGATTAGGTTATTCAAGTTTGTGAATGGTTTTCTTTAACTCTCTTCTGGGATATTTTTCATTGTTCATATGTACAGAATTAAAAAACTTAAATACAGATTTTATTTAATTTCCACCAACACTTGGTGGTATTTTTTTTTTATATATAAAAAGAATACATTTCATTTTCCATACAGGTTTTACTTTCAGATTCAGATATTACTGACGTAATCAATATCACAGATTTTCAGCTAAAAGATTGTGATCTTCAAAAATTGTAAAGTCATTATCATCTCTTTTGACTTTAGGTTCCCACATTCTATACAGTGCTTCAATCCAATCAAACTAATTATTATATTACTCATTAATCTAAGAATTAGGAAAGCAGATTTTGATTAATTTGGATGTTTCTTTTGGTCCCTTGTCCAAGTATGATCCTTGAATAGCATAAACTGACAATTAGGGATATCAAAAAGATTCAAAACAGGAATTGTATCACTTTAGTAGTCAATTAATATTATTCTTCCTTTTCTTTTCACTGATGATGTCCCATTGTCTATTTATATAGTATAATCAACAAGAAAATATAAAAGTTCCAAGTAGAATGTTACATCAATGTGGCTCTTTTCTTTTTTATATGCAAAGCTTAATCAATCCATGGTTATCATATTGTTTTCTTGCATGAGTCAATGCTTGAAAGCTTCTACATATGAAGGCCCTACACGTTTACTTTATATACATAGCATCTAGAGGTCAGAGGTGGAGCCAGGATTTCAATCTTATGGGTTCTAGATTTTAAAACGACAACTTCAAGTGTTAATCATTAGGTTGTAAAATCTATATCTGTACATATTTAATGAATTATAAACACCAAATACATGGGTTCGGCCGAACCCATAGCTTGGCTCGTGCCTCCGCCTTTGATAGTATCTACCAAAGTATTAGGAAATTAAGTGTGTTAACTGGTAAGTGTCTCATATTGGTTGAGAGCAGTAGATTATTGAGTCATTCTAAGGTCTTGGGCAATTCTCATCTCCTAGTTTTCGCGTTGAGTTAAGCTCACGGATTATTTTCTTAATATGGTATAAGTACCAGACTCATCTCCATTCTTTGTTTGCCCAATGTTGGGGCCATTTCATGTTATTTATGGTTATGATGTCAAGTCTTGGGTGAGGGAATGGATTGTTGTTTCGTTATATATTTGATCTTGGACAATTCTCAACTTATATATTTCGTTTCAGGATTTTTTTTTTTTTCGGCCTAAGGTTCATTTTCTTAATAAATACCAAATCAATGAGCACTTGCAAAGAGAGGGATCCGAGAACTGGAACTTATACTTGGTTAGAATTTAGGTGAAAAAATATTTCTATATATTTGTTAGTTGCAAGAATTTACTTTAAATGTTTAAAAGCAGTTGTTCAACAAGAAAAGTGTATTTTTTCTAACAGCTTGACTTTTTAGATGAGACGATCACACACTTTGACATGGTAGAGGTCACGAGTTCAGCATCTCATGGTCACCCATTGTACAAAAAGACTTTCATGTGCTTAGCTTGGCCTATAAAAATAGAACCAGACCCGCACGGGAGGGGGCGTGTTCGATGATAAAGGTATGATCTCTCTAACAACTTGAGCTTACACACTTCAACAGCAGTAACATGGGGACTGAAACTCTTTGTATGATTATGTGTGGAATTAATTAAAGATTCAAGAGCCTAACTAGTTAGGCTTTCTGGTGTAGAATTGGGGTTTAGCATTTTGCAACATTATCATTACAAGCTGCTCATAGCTAGTATAATGATATATTTGTTAGAATCCTATTCTGTTAAGTGCATGGGTTGTAATCTTTGTAATGATCATGAATAATTCTTAATACTTGAGCTAACTTTTGGAGTTAAGTTAGATTCTCATTCTAAATAATATCCATGTGATAGTGATATATAGATCAAATCCGACATCTCTTGTTTGAGTTCAAATTGTTGAGCTCTTGTATTTTTTTTCTTTGTATATATACCTTTTCTTCGTTTTCTTATGTTTTTTCTGGTTGTTGTTGCTATTTTGCATACCGTACTTTTTTGTCATAACTGTTGTGTTTTTGCTTTATTGCGCCGAGGGTCTTCTAGAGATGGCTTCTCTACCTTCACAAGGTAGGGGTAAGATCTGCGAACATACTTGAGGATACATTTGGTATGTTGTTGTTATTATATATATTACCACTCTACTTAGCTCTTTTAAGTCTTGCTTGTGGTGCCTTTGTCTTACATATTTATTGTAGTAAGACCATATTTCGACATGTTATTTTTGCTCAAGAGGCAGGGGCATGCAATTTTCTCTGTATCGTTTCATTCTTTCGGATGTTTCTGAAGGGACATTTTAGTAAAATAGTAATGAGAAAAATTGTTACCCTTTACTTGTCATATAACGCTAGACATTGGAGTTGAGTTAGATCAAAAGCCAATTTTCTTAACACAATATTAGGTCAAAATGAATCCCAATTCTTGGTTTGATCCAATTAATAGGCCAGGCCCTCACATGTTATGTTGCTCACGCTGTAAACGGTAAAAATAGCAAGGCAAGCCAGTTTTCGGACTGGTCATTGAAAAATAGCCAGCGTTTACAAAGTCATTGAAATATAGCCACTATTTTACTGCAACACGGAAAGTTCCAGCATAATATACTGGAGATTGGTGCACCTGTGTATGAACTTCCACCATATTATGCTGGACCATTATATTATATTGGAACTCTAGTATATTATACTGGAAGTGCAGTATATTATATTGGAACTCTAGTATATTATACTGGTACTCTAGTTTATTGTGCTGGAATATTTTTCGAATTTTGAACAGTATTTTTGTTCAGATTTATCTTTACATGAAAAGTGGATAAATTTCGAATACTAAATTTCAGTTACCACTTGTAAATCTAGCTATTTTTGAATTTCACCTATAAATGCCCACTCCAGATATCATATAGTAGTCGAGAAAAATGAGATATTGTCTCCTTATATGATTGGTTAATTCTCACCTCATGAGATAATATTTGGAGTTGAGTAATATCATATTTTGAAGGGGAGCATTGGAGCAACGCTAAAGTTGTCTCCTTGTGGCCTATAGATCACAGGTTCGAGCCGTGTAATCGGTCATTAATGCTTGCATTGAGGTAAGGTGCCTACATTACATTCCTTGAGATGCATTCATTTCCTGAACCCTACGTGAATGCGGGATTCTTCATGTATCATGCTGCCCTTTGAGTAATATTCATATTTTCTATTGTAAGTCTTGTGCATGCCTCACAAACGAATATGTAACCTTGCTGACTTTTCTAAGCTGCTATTTAATAGCAAAGAAGAAGAAAGAAAAGGATAAAAAGAAAACTCGACTTACTAAAAAAGCCTGGAATAACACAGATGAATAAGTTAATGTGCTTTCTATTTTATGTATGGATCAAAATTCGATGATTTAAAAACTCCTCGAGCCGACAGTAAAAGACAAACTTGGGGCTAAATTCAATAGTGATATATGTCGCACGCTTTATTAAAAAAAGTTGCTGATCAGATTTCATTAACTATTTATTTACTGATTCGACATATCAGATGACAAACTTATTCCAAAGAGAAAGGAGGTTAATAAGCGGACAATATTTTCATAAAAATATTATCCACTTTGCGCCTAGGTCCGTACTACTTTAAAACGCGTGATTAGAGTCTAAAGTCTGTCTACTTATATATCCAGCATCTCTTCCGTGTTTTGTCGATATGGGATTCGCCTACGGTATCACATACACCCCTCCTCCCCTCCCCCCTTAAGGTTTGCCCTACCACCGTTCAAGGTTGCACGCAGAGTGGCTCTGATACCATATGTAACAGCCCAGCCCACTAGTGATATTGTTCACTTTGGGCCTAGGCCCGCACAGCTTTAAAATGCGTAACTAGAGTCTAAGGTCTGTCTACTTATAAACATATCTCCCGTGTTTTGTCGACATGGGATTCGCGCAAGGTGTCACAGCTCTGCTTCTACTCAAAAGTATCTTTTTTCTAAAAGTTTGACCAAACTCCTTAACTTTCGGAAAAAAACACTTTTGGCCCAAAAAGAAAAGCACGACCAAATAGGATACAATGTATAAGTTAGATTTCAGGGGTTATTTTCTAGGAGACAATTTATAAGTTGAGTGATTTTATTGAATAAAAAATAAGATAAGTTTACTTTCTCAAGAAAATAACTATATGTCTAGTTGACATAAATTCTTTCCTAGACCAAAAACTAGCTTAATACAGAGAGAGTTGAGCTAGGTGCCCAGGTTTATAACTAACTATAAATAAAATTAATAAAAGAAAAAAATTTAAAAAGTCAAGAACTATTTTTAGGGTTTCACTAGTGTTTGTTGTCCTTTAATATATTTTTATTTTAGGAAATAAGTTATTGTGGGGTATGCGCCGACGGAAAAAGACAAATCTTCCTGACGTGAGGTCCAAAGTTGTTGCCTCACAGTTTTTGTATTAAAATGAAAGGATTTAAGCTGAGGGTAATGATTTTTTTCTCCATTAATATAGTTTAATGTGTTATAATATACTATTATTTATTACTTATTTTAAATTATCAATTAATATTATTTATATATAATTATATTTTGAGTGACCTGAATATACAAATAACTTTTATACTATCGGTACTTTAAATCTAAAGATTTAAAAAGAAATCAGCAAAAATGGTAAAGGGGCACTTGCTTCATCAATTCAAGCAGATTCCTTGAATGGACTATAGGACATTAAATATATATTAAATATTTGTAGCTTTTTAAGGGGTAAATAATTTTACTTTAAAATAGTTCTGGGGGTAATAGGACCCCCGAAAAGAAAAGATATGTAATTGGTAATATGGTCATAGGTCGGGGAGGATTTTATGCATTATCCCTAGAGGAGTAGAGATTAATTCCAACTTAATGCTTTCTTTTTTCTCCTTTCTTTAGTAGTACACCTATATTACAAAAATCCTAGATCCACCTCCAGGCGACACATTTTACCTAACGTGTGTGAGACATAAGCCTCGACAGATGAGCGTTAAGTCTCACAGAACTAAGTCCCACGCGTGAGTCTTCGAACTGACAATGCCTCGCTCTGGTGCGAGCTCTGAGGCGTGTTTCAAAAAAACCTTTTAAAATACTGAATTTAAGTTATAAATTCTGATAGTATACTAAACCTTTTCCGCTATATGTGTAATTCAATTACCATTTATATCTAATATATAATTAATGCTACTCTAAATAAAATTATTTATAATTATCTTTTAGGTCGTTGTTGATATGATTGTAAAAATAATTTAATATAATCGGTACATAAAATTAGAACTCAAAATGAAATCTGCAAAAATAGGAAAAGAAAGACTGAAAAGAGGGCACTTGAATCATCAATTTTCATGCAGATTCCTTGAATGGACTATAAGACAATAAATATATATTAAACATCCTTTTCATTGCATTTAATTAAATTATCTGTTTCAACTATAACATTTTGTAGTACCAATAATATACTTTTCTGTTCATAAAATTAAACAGAACCAGAACAAGGGTGCAAATGTACGTGCCCCATATATATAGGGTTAATTTAACCAGAGACTTTTGAATAAAACATGCACAGACCGTACAATAGGAGACAATAAAGATCTAAATTGACTTATAGAAATTGCAATATAAGATTATGATGATATAGTTTCAAACATTAGATTGTCCGAGGAATTCTACAACATAAAAGTTGAAAATTACTTCCTAATTCTTTAAAAAGTTAGTTTGATCAAGTTTGTAAAATGTTGTACAAGTTTGAGAAGAAAAATATTTCTTTTGACCGAGCAATATAATATCTGAAACTCAATAGTCCCATTAATTTAAATTCAAGTTGCGTAAGACCCTTTAAAGGGGAAACGCTTTCAACAATTTTTTTTATTTCTCCGACTCAAATCTAAAAGCTATAATTAAGGGTAAAAGGATTTTATCTATCTATCGTAATCCTAATAGAGATAATACTGTATATAAAATACTACAACTTCTATCTTATTATTTCACATATTGAAAGATAATGTAAATTTCAAATATTACTTTTTGGACTCCGAGTCTCCCACAACAGGACATCATGTAATCATTTTGGAATGACCTTTTCCAAAGAGTCCAAACAATAATCACTTTTGAGGCACCCTCACCTCTACCCCACCCAAAAGACAAATATTTTATGCACCTTTTTTTTTTAAATCTCAAATACAAACATTTCAAGATGATATATGAGCGGATTAAAATTTAAAGTTCATGAGTTTTTATAGTTAAAACAGCACGAGCTAGCCAGTTTTCGGATTGGTCATTCAAAAATAGTCAGCATTTGTAAAGTCATTGAAAAATAGCCATTATTTTGCTGCAACAGGGACCGGTCCAGCATAATATACTGGAGATCGGTGCACCTATATGTATGAACTTCCAGCATATTATGTTGGAACTCCAACACGCGGAAAGTTCCAGCATAATATACTGGAGATTGCAGCACCTGTGTATGAACTTCTAGCATATTATACTGAACCGGTATATTATACTGGAACTCCAATATATTATGCTGGAGTTCCAGTATACTTATGCTGGAACTCTATTATAATATGCTAGAGTTCCAGTATTTATGCTGGAACTCCATTATAATATACTAGAGTTCCAGTATACTTATGCTGGAGTATTTTTCGAATTTTGAACAGTGTTTTCGTTCAGATTTATCTTTACACGAAAAGTGGCTAAATTTCAATTACTTTTGAAACTGTGGCTATTTTTAAATGACTACTTGTAAATCTGGTTATTTTTGAATTTCTTCCGTTTTTACCACAATCGCTTCGTTAGTAATGGAATCTTTATACAAATAGCCGTCTGGTTTTATTATTTATTTTTCCTAGCCAGTATATACACTAATTATACATGATTATACATACATTTATACATAAATTATACATATATTATATATTTGTCGACTATTTTTAGTTTAAATAATTGAGTGAGTTGCTATTTAGGTTAATTCTTTCGTTAATTAAACTAATTAGTTGGTTCACCTTATATATATGGGCCACTTTAATCAAGGTTTTGATAGTTTTACTATATGCCAATTACCTTTTGTGAAGTGCCAATTAAGACTAGGATTAGGAAACAAGACGTAAGTGATGTTGTAAGATTTAGGCCATAACTTAGTCCGGGGAGTACTAAAGGAGCTTTTTTCTTCTCTTAACTAAAAAAGTACCTAATATTAAAATTTTAACCTATACTAGTTAAAGATGCTTTTTAAAGCTTTATTTTAATAAAATTATGATTATGTTAAATGTAGGCTTCCAAAAGTGTAAAGCCCACTTGACGAGATTAGATCTAATTCTTTTTTTCTAATAATTTAGGATTGATAGAAAGTGGCCCCCCTGCTAGACTACAAGCTAGCACGCAATGGCTGAAAAGCTGACTGAGCTGAGGAAAACCCTATGAGTCACTGAAACGACAGTTGAAGTGCTTTTTTTTTTTTCTATGAATAGAAGGAGAAAATTCAATAGACTCTAAAATATGCTCCATTATTAGTATTTCCTGTCCCTTTTTTTTCCCTTTATTCTTTTAGGGTTAGGGGGGTAGGGGGAGGGGAGCAGGTAGTGGTGGTGGGGGAGGTCTAGATCATGTTAATCAATCCTGACTCTAAATAATTATCAAAAAACCCTCTTAATGACCCTCATCCAGCTCAATATTAGCAATTAAATCAAGTGGATCAGTTGTAAATCCTTTTTCCTAATCTCATCACTAGTGGACAAAACTCTAAAAAAGCTCATAAAATCTAATACTCATGCCTAGCATTTCCAACTTGTCAAAGGATCATTTCCCCTTTGTCATCTTCTTTAGTCCGATAAAAAAAATATAATTATATACACTGATATTATAAAAAAAAAAAAAAGTTATACTATGTAAATTTTAGTATATTTATTAATTAATATTTATCAAGAAATATACCTATATTTATTGGTAAATGACCTGAATATATAAATATGTTTACAACATTATTGTAGGGGTCATTTGGTTGGAAAGATGTTATCCCAGGATTGATTATTCCGGGATTAGTTATTCCACCTTTCTATGGGAATAAAAAAATACTACAATCCCGGTATAATTAATTACGGGATTAATTATACCGAATTTTCTCCCAACCAAACATGAGATAAGCTTGTCTCATGTTTATCTTGATTAATTATTCCTTGTCCCTCGTATAAAAACGAACCCAAACTTGTCTAATAATATCCCTCCTATTTCTCTTGATTTCTTCCTTAAGTTCCAAAAGTTTCCCATTAAGGACAATCACTACAGACATATATATATATATATATATATAGCTGTTCCACTCATTAGTCCTACTTTATACTAAATATATCTACACTATATTTATACATATCAAAAGGACAACATAAATCTCCACTTTAGATGGACTTGAAGATTCAAGATCATGAGAAACTAATCTCAATCAAAGTTGAAGTTGAATCATTATCACTAGAAATTGATGATTCAATCTCCAAAGAAGAAAAACACTATATAGGAGTCCGAAAACGGCCATGGGGAAAATTTGCAGCTGAAATTAGGGATTCAACAAGGAATGGTAGAAGGGTTTGGCTTGGAACTTTTGATACTGCTGAAGAAGCTGCTATGACTTATGATCAAGCTGCTTTTTGCATGAGAGGTCCTTCAACTTGTATGAATTTCCCAGTGGAAAAAGTGCGCGAATCGCTACAAAAAATGGAATGTAATAACCTAAAAGATGGATTGTTATCGCCAGCTGCAGCCCTAAAAGAGAAACACAAGAAGAGAAGTAGTAGTAGTTCAAGAAAGAAGCAAGTGAATATTATTAAAGAAGAAGAGAATGTGTTTATATTTGAAGATTTAGGTCCTGATTTATTAGATGAACTCTTATCTGAGTATTCCTCTTGTTCAAATTAGTCTACTATTTTCACATCTGTAAGTAAATCTTGTACTTCTCCTTGTTCTTGGTTTAATTTACCATTCTTTTTATTTGGTTCTTGCTTTCTAGCCAATGTTTCTTTAGCTGAGGATGTATTGGAAACAGCCTTTCTGTCCGTCCAGAGTAGAGGTAAGACTACGTATATTTTACCCTCCACAGACCCTTGTAGGAATACACTAGGCCATTGTTGTTGTTGTTGTTTCTAGCCAATGAACTGTTTCCATCTTTTAATTGAAAGGATCCAAGATCCTAGACTTGTTTGGTACCCTAGACTAGAACTTGCTTTTTCCTAATTAAAGTCCTCCACAAAATATATCATCTTTTCTTTTTTTTTTTCTTCTTCTTCTTGTTCTCATGCTCAAGGCGTATATAGCATATAATCAATGAATTTAATTGAATTCAACTTTCACACATAGCATAGATATATTCGTAAAAAATCACTAAACTTTCTAACAAAAATTAAATTCCAAATCCATGATTGTAAAAGTGTAATGGGTTCAGTATCAAGAATCTAAAGGTAGAACACATTTAAAATTTACATGTTGGATCCGCATGTGCAGTCAGTCTTGCTGTTTCTTTCTCTTGACTGTTTATCAAATATGATGTGTTAATTTTATCTGAAAGAAAAAGAAAATAGACACACTCATTTTCCATTAAAGGTTTAACATCTTACTGTTGTGTGATAAAAATTTATAAATATTATTATTACACGTAAAAGATTGTGGTCTGGAGGAATTTGGAAGTCACTATCTTCTACTTTAAACTTGAGGCTCCCACATACTCAAGTATTTCAACCCCACAATGATTATAAATATATTAGCATATCTTATGTTGATTCATTTTTAGATTGTCAAGTGGCTGGTCAATGTATCTAAGTATCTAACTATTTAAAGCTAAAAATGGTATTGGATGATTGCTAATTTCATAAATTTAGTCATGAGCTATATATGCATCTTTTTTTTCTTTGGCATTTTATTGAGTACTTCAATTTATTTGGTATTCTTTAGAGCCCTTAGTGTTTTTATGCTTTTAATTGTTCAATATATGAACTCAGTTCAAGGAGAGAGGATTCTTATCACAATCCAAGAATGTGTTTATTCATATATGTCTTAAGTATCCCACGTTGGTGGAGGAAATGTGTTGTTACCTTTTCATATGGTGTTTGACAATGCTCACCTCACGAGTTAGTATGAGGTTATGTTAGGTCCAATGTTGAATTCTTATCATAGTATACGTTGGTTGTGTGAACAAAATCTCACATTAATAGCTTAAAGCTTGACAACCTACGTATAAGGTGTAGGAATACTCTTAGTGGTGTGAGTTTGGGCTTCAGTGAGACTTTTCAGGAAAGTGCGAGCTTGGCTCATATTACAAAATGAACCTAGACACTTTACACAATGAACATAGATTGTTTCTTAGTAGTGTACAATGTACATAACTCATATATAGATAGCAGATTTGTAGGAATCTCTTTTATTTTCTTTCCTTAGTTAGCACCTGATGTACATGTATATATATGTATCACTACATGGAATAATATACCAATTTGATCCGTACATCTGTGGATTCGCCGGAGTTGGCCAAAACTTTCAGGCAGACACGTGAGGTGCGTGTGTGGTCCATTCTCTGTCCAGCTTTGTTCTCCGAGATCAGCTTATATTTTCGATCGATTGTTGGTTATCCTCTGATAACATAACCTTATTTTCGTGAAGAATAGACTCGGACAAGGTTGTATTACACCAATTTTGGTCAGGTTTGAGTTCTTCTACTGTTTGGTTTGTTTTTGGGATATTGAAGTAGTAGTGGAACAATATTCTTGCATCTGATTGCTTGTCTTGTGAATTGGTATTTGTTGAGTCTTCCTTGTAAGACGATTTGTTACAATTTGAGACTTGATATTATCTGTTGGGTTTTCCCTTATCAGAAACTTTGTTGGTCTCTGATTTTATTTGATTTGGGGACATATTTGTTTGGTTCTCTGATTTGTTGAGTGGATTATTGGAGTGGAGTTCTGTTAAATAGATTTTTGATTTCGTGTTTACCAGAGATCTGTTTTGATATTTTTTAGCTTTGGGGATCTCTGTTAATTTAATCGGTTTGTTATTCAAAGAAAAAATGATGGTAAAGAATAATAGTGCAACAACTCCTAGTCCGGCAATCTTGGTTTCGGATGAGTTTCTAAAATTCCTTCAAAAATCATAAATCAGTTAAGGAATCTCCTACAGTTACTGCCTTTGCTGGATCAGATAAAACATGTCTTATAACATCTTCCAATAAATGGGTGATTGATTCAGGTGCCACAAATCACATGACAGGTAATCCAAATATTTTTTCTAGCTTTTGCTCACATAAAGAACCCTTTCCAGTTACTGTAGCTAATGGATCAACTTGTAGCAGTGTTGGATCTGGGACTGTTAAACCAACTCCCTCTATTACCCTATCATCTGTATTAAGTCTACCAAACTTGGCCTTTAACTTGATTTCTGCTAGTAAAATCACCAAAGACCTTAATTGTTGTGTTGCATTCTTTCCCGATTATTATTTGTTTCTAGATCTTACAACAAAATGGGTTATTGGTAAAGAATATTATCTGGTGATCTCTACATCCTTGATGAATGGGAGCCACGGTCTATTGCATGCTCTGGTGTTGTGTCTCCCTTTGAAGCACATTGTCGATTGGGACACCCCTCTCTGCCTTAGTTGAAGAAGCTTTGTCCTCAGTTTCAGAATATTTCTTCATTGGATTGTGAGTCATGTCGATTTGCAAAACACCATCGCATCTCGTTAAGTCCAAAGGTTAATAAACGAGTTGAGTCAGCTTTTGAATTAGTTCATTCTGATGTTTGGGGACCATGTCCCGCTATTTCAAAAACTGGGCATAAGTATTTTGTCACCTTTGTAGATGATTTTTCCCGAATGACTTGGATCTACTTTATGAAGAGCCGCTCTGAAGTGTTTACTCACTTTTCTGTCTTTTGTGCTGAAATCAAAACTCAATTTAACGTTCGGTGCGTATTCTAAGGACAGATAATGCTAAAGAATACATGTCAGAGTTATTTCAATCATAAATGAGACAACATGGTATTCTACATCAGTCTTCATGTGTTGATACACCCTCTCAAAATGGAGTAGCTGAGAGGAAGAATAGGCATCTTGAGACAGCGGGCACTTTTGTTCCAAATGAAGGTTCCTAAACAGTTCTGGGCTGATGCGATCTCTATGGCTTGCTTTCTGATTAATCGCATGCCATCTACTGTGCTTGGTGGTAATGTGCCTACAGTGTCCTTTTTCCAAACAAGGAATTATTTCCGGTGGAACCTAAGGTATTTGGAATCACATGTTATGTTCGAGATGTTTGACCATCTGTTACCAAGTTGGATCCCAGGGCATTGAAGTGTATTTTCCTTGGCTATTCTCACCTTTAGAAGGGTTATCGGTGTTATTCTACTGAACTTGGCAAATATTTAGTGTCAATTGATGTGGTATTTTCAAATACTACACCATTCTTCTATGCACCTTCCATTTCTACAAGTCAGGGGGAGGAAGATGAGTGGCTAGTATCACTACAACAAATTTCGCCTAAGGCCACACTAACTTTAGCCAACGTTCGGAAAGTGTTGTCAAAAACATCTATGGGAACGTTTATAAAGGGGTGGCCTTTGTTAATCACTTTTGGCTACAAAGTTTAGACCACACTTGTTAAGAGTTCTCTTTGAATAAATAGACAACGCATTTTAAGTGTAGTCAACTCAAATAACATTTGGCAACACATACTCACCTATATTACAACGCTTTTAGAACGTCCCATTTCTTAATCATAAAAGCAACCATTTATAAGGGTGCTCTAAACTTTTCCAATAAAAATTTCATTAGAAGTTTCCCTCCATTATTGTTCCTAATGAAATATTTGGGAGGGAATTTTAAAAAAGGAAATATTTCTCCCATTTTCTAAAAGGAAAAACGACAGTACAAGAAATATTTGCCCATTTTTTATCCCACACCTCCATCGACTTGTTGGTGCTGAAGAAATTTCCATTTTTACTGCCGCATCTTCCACCACCTCTGTTGCTGCTGTTATCGCTGCTTCCACATTAATGGTTGATTAAGTCTTGAAATGGTAACCTCCTGCCCCTTTATTTTTTCAGTTGTTTCGAGTTTAGGGTTTTGATTATTTGAATACTTTGATTATGGCTTGAATTAGGGTTTTGGTTCTGCCCACCCACCTTGATAGTATCTCCATTGTCGTCTAATACCCAGAGACTTACTTGCAGAGCAGTCATCCATGTAATTTGCTCTATAATTACTAATATTACCACTTATACTTCAATACCCACTTCCACTACTTTGATTTTGCTCACTCCTTTTCTTCCTCTTATTGTTTGTTCTCTACCTTAGTGAGTTTTTCTTTTTCTTTGCCAAAAGTTAAGGCTTGCTGTTGGACTATTTAAGTAGGTTGGTAATTTGTTTTCGGCCCTAAGTCTTTGGTCACATTTTTTAGAATTTAGAGATGTTCTTTGTTGTTTAAATACTGACATAGACAAATTATCAATAAATTATTTGTACTAATGTTGGTTATTCTAGATAGAAAGAATCGTTTTGTTGCTACTGTTCAAAAATTTGCCAGTGGTGGGTGCTTAGAATAGGCTATAGTTTGTTATTTTCGTAAATTGTACTGTTCAACTTCATGGTTTTACACTTTTGTAGCCTTCAGTTTTTAAGCTGACATGTTTATATCATTGGTTTATTCTAGTGGTGCAGTACTCGAATTGCATCATGGAGAGCTGAATTAGGTCTACCTGAACTGAAGGTTGGAATTATTTAGTTGTGGAGGTAAAATTGTCTTGCTTCTTTGAATTGTTGTTGCTTGACCGAGATCTTGCTTCATCCCCAATTCTTACATAGCAAATTCAATGGGTCGAAGCCGATTTTGTTCTGTTGAAATTAGCAAAAAAGATAGCATATTCTTACATAGCTTCTTGCAGTAATATTTATTAATGTTTGAACTGATTGACATTTTTTCGTAGTTAAAAGGATTATTTAAATGCAAGAAGAATTGGGTGTTGTATTTTTTCCTTTCCACCCATATTTGTACTAAAAACTAGTTATTACCATGTGACAATCATCCAAGATCAATACTTCTGTTGTAGGGAAGGAGTTGGGTATTATCTATGATGTGGTATCTTCTTAAGACCTCTTAGTAATTTCTTGTATCGGGCATTATATATTGCAAAAGGACGTAAAGCTCGTACTAATAGACTTCAAAGGATAGATAAAATTGAACCTGTACATGAGTCATCTGCTATCCTAGAAACTACTAGACAACAGGTTTTGAAGATTTCTCCAGGCATGCACATTATACATATACAGCCTGCCTCGATGTTATTGAAGAGAGCATTTCTGGAGGATATACTGGAGTTTTGACGGTGAATTTTATATAAGGTGCACCATAAAGTTCTGTCTTAATTAGCATGCAAAAGCGTTTAGTCAAATCTACAGGTGCAGGTGCAGGTTTATGTATTTGCACATGCTTAATCATTTTTATGGTCCTTTACTTAGCAGATCACAAGAAATCAATTGCACCATTATACATAATATTTTATTATCTTTTAGAATTTTTGAGTAGACATTTCAACTACTTAGTGCAAACTCAGTTATTACACCTTGACAGTCTAAGTTCTGGTCAAACAAAGGAAGTAGAATTGGAGAAGAAGGGGTATGCTGTTGTCTTATTGATATAAATTTGTTTCCAGCTGTCTTTTACAGGATTGCGTAGTAGTTTCACTTGGATTTGCTACATGAGGTCCTAGCATTTTCATCTCTATTGTTTTCTATGTGGTGGTTTTGATTGTCTTTCGATTACTTATTTATAAGATTTTCCTGTCCAGTTTATTTTGTCAGTTATAGAGTTAATGTCTTGTGGCTATTTGTAGGAGGACAAGGTTTTCAGAGAATTAGTAATCTCAAAATTGGCTAGAGTTCTGCTCCATATAGATTTTGATGAACGTACAACATCAAAGGTATAATTGATAACCCAAACATATATATATGTCATGAGATTCACAATTGCATGTTAAAAAGGAATAATTTCCATGTGCATCAAAATATGAAACCAATATGAAAGATTTTAAAGTATTAAATGACAGGGACGTAGTTCTTAATATATATTATATTTTAACTATGTGATTAGGTATTGAGATGTCATGCAAACGTGTTAGCCTATGCCAACATTGTTTTCATTTAAAGATGAAGCTAATATTCTTTTTGGTACTGCAAGATATGTTATGAAATTTTAGTACACTATTCTATTTGGAGCTGCTTCTGAACAAGCTTTTAATGTTGAACTATTGTAAAATTGATAAGGTTGAGTTGGTAGAAACAAAGGGTTAGTTGAAACTTGTAAATGTTAATGATAGAATAATCGGAAAAGGGTCTGATATATCCTTGTACTATGGTAAATTGTTTAAAATTGTCTCCCGTTATACTATTGGGCCATAAAAGTCCCTACCGTCCAACTATCCTAACAAATCTGCCCTTACTTTGACGGAACTGCCACGTGGCATCCATCCTTGCCTCTTTTTAAATCTGGGCACATAAGAGACGACCCGCTCCAACTATACCTATCAACCCATAACCCATTTATAAACCAAATAATATCCCAAAACCACTGACCAACGATTTATAACCCAAATTAAACTCCAACCTTAATTTATAATCCTACTGCCATCTCCATCAAACCCTCTATGCTATGCACAGTCAAAGGGTCATTTTATGAGTAGGAAGCAACACAGAAGTATGGAGTATTAAACACATGTATCAACCAGGCGTACTATAGGGACCAAAGCCAATGACATGATTTTGATAGTGAAAAGCACAATCTGACTCTCATAATTATGATAATCGCAGACACAGACACCTTTTCCTGCACGAAATATTTAATTGCAACATGATGAAGTACTATTCTTATTCAAATATGCCTGCAATTCTGGAACAATTGGAAACACAGAGGTCAGTGCAAAATGTTGACCCTACTAAAATAAATGGAACCTTCCTACTTCATTTTCTTTAATCTTTTTCTCTTCCCTCTTTTTTTCTTTGGCAGTATTAGATCTAAACTATTTATTCGTACTCATGTTTGCAACAATCTGGTCAGTTATGAAAAGTTACAAATTGTTTGATGGAGCATAAAGGGTTTGATGGAGATGGCAGTAGGATTATAAATTAGGGTTGGGGTTTAATTTGGGTTATAAATCGTTGGTCAGTGGCTTTAGGGTATTATTTGGTTTATAAATGGGTTATGGGTTGGTTGGTATAGTTGGAGCGGGTCGTCCCTTATGTGCCCAGATTTAAAAAGAGGCAAGGATGGATGCCACGTGGTACTTCCGTCAATGTAAGGGCAGATTTGTTAGGATAGTTGGACGGTAGGAACTTTTATGGCCCAATAGTATAACGGGGGACAATTTTAAACAATTTACCATAGTACAAGGATATATCAGATTATTTTATCCATTACATATTGCATGATACATAGTTCGTGAGTTGTATCTTTTTTTACATTCTCATTGATATGTAATTTACTCTTAAATCTGATTATCATCAATTTTGGATTATAAAGTCGTACTCGTCAAACCCATTATTTTCTTGGATCGTTCTTTATCTATAATAGCATCGTCCTATTAGCTGTTAATTTGGATATGTCTTTCTATATTGGACATGATCGAGTGAATGTATACTTGTGTTCCGGTAATGGACACAACTGATTGAAATTTGAAAGTATCTTCTTTTTTCCTTCTATTTTCTGATATGTATTTTTCACAGAAGTACAAAAGAAAGTGTTGATTGCAAAAAAAAAAAAAAAAAAGAAAGTGCTGATGCCAATGCACAAAAATAAAACTACTAATGAGAAAATTGATAAATATTGAGAAGTATTATAGTGTACCCTACTAGTTTAGGTTAGGCTCAAGTATAACAGACATCTGTTCTTAGAATAGTGCTTGGTATTTAAATTTTCAAGGGAAAAATCTATTACATTGCTCTAAGTTTGCACTTGCATACTATTGATTTCTATCTAATTACTAATTTTATTTTAAATGTGCAGGAAAGTCTTGGTGAGCAGTTGAAAATGGTGGCCAAACGACAATTTGATCTAATGGAATGTAATCATCAAGACTTTGGACAATTATGATTTTTGTTATTCCTGATAATATAATAATACATCTGCTTTTTATAAAGTTAATTAATTACTAGCATGCCCCTTGAGACAAGTTTCTTTATTCGTTGATGTTTACTCCTTGTTTGAAGTTCATTGCAAGTTTATGCATTTGAATTATTCTTTTATTATCTACTAGTTCATTGGGTGCTTGAGATCTTCATACTTAAATTTGATTATAGGATATGTACAAAATATAATTCACTGACCGCAAAAGTATGGCAATAGAGATTAGCAAAATTTGTGGTCTATATGGTAGCAAAACCTATACTTTACAAGTGTTGCTTTTAGGAGCCACAAGTGCTTGAGAAGTGTAGCCTAAAGAGTAACAATGGTCACGCTTTTAATGGGTTGTTGCAGTATCTAAAAGTGTTGCCATAGAGGGTATTACAAGCGTGGCTCGTTACATTTTAGGCCATGTTTTTCAAGTGTGGCTTCTAAAGCGACACTTGAAAAGTGTTGCCTTAGTGTAAAGGTTACGCTCGTTTAGGCTACCCCTCAAAAAACGTTGCCTTAGGTCGAAAAGTGTGGCCTTTTATTAAAGGCCACAGTTTTTGATAGTTAAGGCCACACTGTTTAGGTGTGGTTAAAGGCCTAAAATGTTGTAGTGCATATCAGGTTACTCGTACTTTGACAGAACAACGAGATGATGTTCCTCCATCTCCTAGTTCTATCGAGCACTAATCCATTATTCTGCCTTCAACACCTGCTCCAACTATGTTAGCAAGACCGCCAGTTGTTCAAGTTTACTCGCGGAGGCAACAGACAAATGATACATGTTCTGCACCAGTTCCTTCATCATCAGATTTGCCTCCACCTAACCCTCCGGAAAAGCTTGACCTTCCAATTGCTCTTCGCAAAGGTATACGCATTTGTAAATCCACGTATTCTATTGCTAATTTTGTTTCCTACGACCACTTGCCCCCTGCATCTAGATCTTCGATTGTGTCTCTAGACTCTGTTTCTATACCCAAAACGGTGAAGGAGGATTTGAATCACCCTGGATGGTCTGAAGCAATGCTTGAGGAAATACATGCCTTAGAGAAAAACCACACTTGGGATTTAGTGGATTTACCCAGTGGAAAGAAAGCAGTGGGATGCAAGTGGGTCTTCACGGTTAAAGTTAATCCTGATGACTCTGTGGTGAGACTTAAGGCCAGACTTGTGGCTAAGGGGTATGCTCAGACTTATGGGGTGGATTATTCAGACACCTTCTCTCCGGTTGCCAAACTAACTTCTGTCCGCTTGTTTATTTCTCTAGTTGCTTCTGAGAATTGGCATTTGCATCAATTGGATATTAGGAATGCTTTTCTTCATGGTGATCTCCATGAAGAGGTATATATGGAGCAACCACCTGGTTTTGTTGCTCAGGAGGAGTATGGCAAGGTCTGTCATTTGAAGAAATCCTTATATGGCTTGAAGTAGAGTCCTCGGGCTTGGTTTGGTAAATTTAGTGAAGCAATTCAAGAATTTGGGCTGAAAAAGAGCAAATATGATCATTTTGTCTTCTACAAGCAATCAACAGCTGGATCTATTCTCCTTGTTGTATATGTGGATGACATTGTTATCATAGGGAGTGATTATGCAGGATTCTCTTCTCTCAAGTCTTTCTTGCATACTAAGTTTCATACAAAAGATTTGGGATAACTGAAATACTTCTTGGAAGTAGAAATAACTAGAAGCAAGAAGGGAATTTTTCTATCTCAGAGAAAGTATATTCTTGACTTACTAGCAGAAACTGGTAAGCTGGCTGCCAAGCCTTGTAGTACTCCGATGGTTCCTAATTTGCATCTTATGAATGATGATGACGATCCATTTAATGATCCAGATAGATACAGGAGGTTAGTTGGGAGATTAAACTTCTCATTGTGACTCGTCCAGATATTGCTTTTGCAGTGAGTATGGTTAGCCAGTTCATGTCCGCGCGCACAGTTAAACATTGGGAGGCTTTGGAGCAGATCCTATGCTACTTAAAAGGAGCTCCTGGACTTGGCATATTATACAGCAATCACGCATTGAATGTTTTACAGATGCAGATTGGGCTGGATCTAAGATTTATAGAAGATCTACTACTGGTTACTGTGTATTTGTTGGTGGAAACTTGGTATCATGGAGAAGTAAGAAACAAAATGTTGTATCTAGGTCCAGTGCGGAATCCGAGTATAGAGCTATGGCACAATCAACATGTGAGATAATGTGGATACATCACCTTTTAACTGATACTAGGTTGAAGCATCCTACTCCATCAAAACTCTGGTGTGATAATCAAGATGCACTCCATATAGCCTCAAATCCAATATATCATGAAAGAACTAAACATATTGAAGTTGACTGTCATTTTATTCGTGAGAAGATTCAGGAGAACTTGATTTTCACTGGCTACGTGAAGACAGGAGAGCAGCTAGTTGATTTGTTCGCTAAAGCGTTGAATGGCAATCGAGTTGATTACCTTCGTAACAAGCTGGGCATGATCAATATATATGCTCCAGCTTGAGGGGGAGTGTTACAGAATGAACCTAGACACTTTACACAATGAACATAGATTGTTTCTTAGTAGTGTACATAACCTATATATAGATAGCAGATTTGTAGGAATCTCTTTTATTTTCTTTCCTTAGTTAGCACCCGATGTACATGTAATTATATGTATCGCTACATGGAATTATACACCAATTTGATTCTTCCATAACTTGTTAATTACTGCTCAAAATAATGGACAATATCACATCGTTTTAGGAATATTTTTGGGTTGGTTGAGCCTAACCGTGCCATAGTTGACTCATTCCTATTTCTTGGTTACTCTGTGTTGAGTTCCTATACGTTATGTTGTCCATGTTTCAGATGTAAAATGCCTTACACTGGTGGAGGAGATGAGACTTTGAGGGTTGAGTTAAGTCCAATATGCATTTCTTATCGGTATGGAATGCTATTTCCTTTGACAGTGATTTCGAATCAAATCCAATGATCTCGTAAAAGTATGACAAGTTTTGGTGAATCTTTTGCTTCTAACTTGATTATCCTTGCTTTTCATGAGCCGAGGGTTTATCAGAAACAGTCTATCCACATTTACAAGGTAAGTGTAAGGATGCATACACAATATCTTTTTCAAACCTCACTTGTGGAATTACACTGGGTTTATTGTTGTTATTTTTTCTTCTCTATTATGTTTTAAACTTTCATGTTTTGGCACTCTATCTTGCTCTTTCAGGACTGTGTTCTGCTCCCTTTGTCTCATATATTTCCAGCTGCAGGAGAAATTAATTATGTGTCAAAAACTTTCTCCATTGTCATTTTATGATATAGTAAGTGTCAATATTCCTGTTGTACTTTATTTCACAATATATAAGGTATGCAAATCACCATCTTTTTGATAAGTATAAATTCACTTTTTTGTTGATTACTTTTTGCCTTCTCTTAAAGCTCTTTGATCAGGAAATTAAAGTTCTCTTTGAGATCAATCTGTTCAAGTCTGATATCGAATCTGTAAGTTTTTTACTTTCCTCCCTATTATTTTTTTATAAGATAAGTTCTCCACAGCTTTAGTTTCTTATATATTGCTTTGTTTTCTTACTATGAGATCATATATGAATCATATTTGAGCAGGAAAAACCAACAATGTGCTTTGGTGTCATCCTTTTTACCCTTTTTACTATGTTGTATTCAAAAAAAGAATCCAGGACAGAGACGGCGGATTCAGAATGAGTGTGATTTTTTTATATGTACTGTGAATCTTTTTTCTTTCCAATATTTATCTTGAGCCGAGGGTATATTTGAAACACTCTATCTATCCTCATAAGGTAGGGGTAAGGTTACACACTATCCTCCGTGGATCCCACGGCATGGGATAATACTGGGCATGTTGTTGTTGTTGCTGTTGTATATATATTTATCCATCGGTCAAGCCAAAAGTACGGTAAAGTTGTCTCAGTGACTTATAGGTCACGGGTTCGAGCTGTAGAATCAACCATTGATACTTGCATTAGGGTAGGCTGCCTACGTCACATTCCTTAAGGTGCGGCCCTTCCCCGAATCCCTGCATGAACGCGGAATGCTTCGTGCACCGGGCTGCATTTTTCTGTTTGGTCAAGCCAAAAGCATGCAATGAATTTAGTTTTAACGTTCATTGTATTCTGCTTTGTGAGTTGTGATTGTGGAACTCAGCAGCTTATGCTTTTCAACATTGAATGATAATTTAGCTCGAGTGATTTGCAAAATTTTATACTTGACATTGTTGAAATTTTGTTATTTAGCTCTTTATTCTAATCGGGCTTATGTTTACATAGCCAATTATACATATCCTTTTCTGTATTTGAGTGATTTATTTTTGTTTATAGGTTTTCTGGATTATTATAAATGGCTAAACATGATTTGTACCTGTTCGATAAATTTTTAGACAAAACAAATGAATTGAACCAAAAAAATTGGATTCGACCGAACCCGTACTCGATAGGCTAGTTCCGCCCCTGATAACATTAACAGACGCCAAAACAAAAAATTATCTTCCTCTCTTGCCAATTAGTAGTGTTGTGGAAACAAGGGCCCGATGAAGACGAGCAGTCAATTGAATGATCAAAGCGTCAGTTGCTTCCATATGAGGCCTTCATCAACCGCCTTCACACCTTAATATGAAGATTGGCATAAAAAAACCACATAAAAAAAAGATAGTGATGCATCAGATATTAAAGAGCCAATAAATCATCCCATATTTCAAACTAATAAAATATGTTTAAAAAATTGTCCTAGGCTCGACTAATCCACTTAGTACTTCATAGAAAAAAATAAGTGTTGAGATTGCAAACAAGTAGGTCATAAGAAAATTGATTATTTTTTAAACAATATCACATTTGGGAAGCCCATTAAGATAAACTCGATCGAACGTGGTGGTGAATACTTAAGAAAATATCATTTGTTGACACCCAGTTTTATCAATACTTTACCATAATTTTATTTTCACAGGCTTCTGTTTGGTTTAAAAAGGGACCAAAATAATTTTATTTCATTCATAGAGCACTATATAAGCTGTGTGTTCATTATAATTTCATCTTGAACATGTTTATTTGTGATTGTCTGTATTTTTGCATTTAATTATTATTTTAGTTCTTATGGCATTTGTATTAAAATAGGCTGATTTATACAAATGTCCCTTTCTTATACTACTATTTAGATTATGTCCTTACCTTAAAAAATTGTGCAAATATAGCATCTAGAAAATTACCCCTTCCATACAACGTTAGATTCCAGTCTAATATTTGCTCATATAAATTTAATTTTCTCACAAAGTATTAGTCTATGGTCTAATTTTTTTTCATAAAGTATTTTAGTTTTCTCAAAAAATGATCTTTAAATTGTGGTCTAAAAGGTTCATTAGTGGCCAGAGAAATAAAAAGGACTATTTAATAAATTCCAAAACAAAGCCTAGTTACTCAAGCCCAATCCCGTTAAATTGGGGGTTTTGACACAGTTACCCACAAAAATAAAACTATTTACTCTTGTCTACCCATTTATTTTTCTACCCATAAACTAATTACATTTCCTACCCATAGTAGGTTTTGTGGGGAATTTTCTCTTTATTCTCCAATTCTCTTTTATTTCTATGCTTCTTTTCTTTTCTTTTTTCTTTTCTCCTTTTCTTCTTATTTTTTTCTTTTTTCCTATTCTAATTTCATTTAACTTCTTTTTTTTATATTCATTTTCTCTTCATAATCTAATTTATTTACTATTTTCACTATTTTTTATTATTCTTTTTTTATATTATTACTAAAGAATAATCAAATTGTGTAACAATTAAATGTAGCTAATACAACCAAAAAAATATTAACTAACGTTTGATACCAGTATAGTATATAGTTATACCAACAAGGTATACAATTGTACGCAAAGAATTAAAAAAAGTTTAATTCAATTATTAAACTGAAATAATATCAGTTGTCAATAAAAATTTCAAAAAATTCTAAAAGGATCTAATTGTAAGAGTATACCGTTACATTATATAACATACTATAATAATTTTTTTTATTTTTTTTGCATTTTCAATTTGCCTCTCACGCTGGATAAAAGCTTAAAGCAAATTAAAAGGGAAAAGGCAAGTGAATTTACGGGTAATAAGTATACTATTATAGTATATTGTATACTAGTACAACATATTGTTACAATATCTTGCATATTATTACAGTATACCATAATAATATATTTGTATACTATAATGGTATACTGTTGTAGTATAACTATATACTCCTATAGTATATTAGTATACTGTAGCGGTATACTGTTAGGTAACAGTGTTCTTCTTCGATTATTACTGTAGTTGTGTTCTTCTTCGATTTTCAACTGAATATTTCGATCTCAATCACCTCAAATCAGCTCCAAGTCTCGTAAATCAGATTTTAGAACATCCAGGCAAATATGTGTGGTGGGCTCGATTTTAGAGCATGTAAAAATAATTTGTAGTTCGAGAATCATGGAATTGATGTCTCAACGGTAAATTCTATTAGATTTATCTTTTGAGATGCTTAAATATTAGTAGTATCATTTGCAAGGATTATATTTACTTAAATACCAAACTAAATTTTTTTAATTATCGGGAGTTAATATAAGTAGTGTTTAGCTTAAACTGTAGTTATCTTGAATATGAAATCGATCAGCGATGAGGATCTCGAAATATATTCGTGCTTCTTTTCTTTCATGTTTGGCCTTGCATCTGGTGATGGCCTTACAAGGATTATTTTTTATATAGGAAAAAATACGATGGGTATAAAGTGAGGAAGGTAAAATGAGGAGGAGGAAGAAGAAAGACGGGTAAATAGTTTGGGGAGCATGGGTAGGAGTAGTAAATAGTTTGGGTCTAGGCATTAAAGGGTAAATAGTTTAGAATTAATGGGTATAAAGTGAGATTTTCTCGTTAAATTGCCTAGCCCAAAATCCTATTTGACTGATGACTACCCTCTATATTTGGTGTAGTCTGTTCTCATCTCACCATCAAATGTGCAAAGGTATCCCCTCTTCCTTTCTGTTGCTGTGTGTGTGCGTATTCTTTCATATAAATCAAAAATCTGGTACTTTCGATACGGAGTATAAATTTATGTGTAATAATTTATTAAGATAGAAACAGACGATAGGTCTTGTTTCTATGGTTTTTATTGATGGTACGGATCTTTCGTCGTCTTTTCGTCTTCTTGAGCCGAGGGTCTATGGGAAATAGTCTCTCTACCCTCTCAAATACGGTAAGGTCTGCGTACACAATACCCTCCCCAGACCCTCGTCATCTTTTCGTCTTTTTGAGCAAATGGTCTATCGGAAATAGCCCTCCCCAGACCTCTACCCTCTCGGGGTAGGGGTAAGATCTGCGTACACAGTACCCTCCCCAGACCCACTGGTAGAATTTCACTGGATTGTTGTTGTTGTAGTAAACAATTAGTGTGAACCAATAATTTAAATAATATACTAGGTATAATGCTAGGAATCTTAAAGGATTGAACCGATGAAGTTAAATTCTGA